ATTAGCTTCCACCTCAAGACAGAAATCTCTCCAGACTGAACCTAAGTTCCCAAACCAGCAATGCACAACACCGTGAATTCCTTAGGGTGGTACCAGTCTCATCTTCTTAAACTTCCCACGCTCCTGCTGGGGGCTAAGGAAACACTTATCTCCCTGAGCGTGGCCTTCATAACACCATTCCTTCAAAAATCCTCACTCAAGGACAGTAACTGGGACTGGCAATTCTGTTACTAAGTGATGTGGTTATAAAGTGCGACATCACATGACCGTCCTGACAGCAGTTGTGGCAGTTGCAGCAGTTCCGGCAATTCTGGTTGCCATCGTTAAGTGAATCCTGCGCAGTCATTAGTGTGATGTCATGCGATTGCCATTTGTGACCTCCTGCACCCAAATTGCAATCACATGACCACAGGGATGCTGCGACAGCCGCAGCTACGAGGATCAGTCATAGGTGTCCTCATTCAGCACCGTTGTAACTTTGAACAGTAACTGAACGAGTGGACATTAAGCAAAGATTACCCGTACTGTACTTAGGGTTTGCCCATCCAAGGGCCTGCAGGCCCAGATAGAGAGAGAGAGATTACTCTTGGCAGAGGCCTGAATAAATTGCAGATTCAGGACAACATGGGGTGGGGTCAACGTCTAGAGTAGAATCTCATTCTAGTAATACTTCAATTCCTGGCCAGCTTACCTGACTATGAAATTGGGGACTGCTCTACATAACAGCGAGGCTTTTAAAAATACCTTGGTTTGGACAAAACACCATGTTTCATAAATTCAAATAACATTTGCTACAAGATACTCACATGAATCTACCTTTTACTTTTATTTTTGCCCCCTCCTTCAAATGGTAAGCCAAATTATACCAAAATAAGTTAGCATGTGCTTCACTGATTATAGAAAGGTCACTCAATCAACCTTCAAAGAGTAATTTTATTTCATGAAGTGGCAGAACTTCTTTAATGTTCTCAACTGAAATAATGATCTCAAAGCATATTAACATCAGAACTTACATAAAAGTAAGGCTAGCTGATGTTGTGATGCTACAAACATAAAATAAAATGGCTTAAGACTTCATGAATGAGTGGACTTTGGTATTGTAACAGACCTTTACTCTGTTCCCTACTTCAAAACTCATTTTTGCTCATCTACAGGTGAGTGCCCAACTCCAGATCTACCCCCCCATTCTTCACTAAAAGGAGGAGAAGACTTAGCAGATACCTATCCTGCTGAAACTCTTCTGCGGTTAGTGTGCAACACAGGTTATGAATATATACCTGAAAGAACTTCTGTTATTAAATGTCTTCTCTCTGGTCACTGGTTAATGACTCCTGAACTTTGTCAAGGTGAGTGTCTTTTGTCAACAGCAATGGCTCTTATGAAATGCTGAATGAAGTAGATGCAAACTTTCAGAGACTTATAGCTGTAAGTTAAATTTCTAGTCTATAGCTCAATCCAAAGAAAACTGAATACTGGGTTATGAGAACTGAGGTAGCATTCTAGTGGGCAGTGATAATTTCTTCTTTCTTGTCTTTCTAACTCTCCTGTTGGCAGAGTTAGAAATATGAGAATGTAGCCTGTTTTCATAGTGTTGCCCATGAAACCAGGATCTCTAGCTTGTTAGTTTCAGAATCTCTCCTATTAGAATAGCAAATTTTGGATATACTGTAATGGTAAAAGAAACTATGTACAATAGGAGACATTGGGATTTTTTACCACCACATTTACTCATTGAGGTTGAACCAGAATTCTAGCTCATTATAGATAAAGTAATTGCACAGTGGGGCTTTGCAGATTCATGAGAATTCATCTGACAGACAGCACACAGTGACCTCTTCTGAATATTTTTCCTCCTCCTTTTATTAACCAAATAAAGCAGCTGATACTCTCTTGTCCAGTATTGGCAAAATATGTGTAGAATAGGTTTGTTTGAAATAATGTAGAAAGTATCGAAGAGCAGATGCCAGATTTTCTTTGGTCATTAGACTCATTGGGTGCCTTTGGACCAGTAATAATTTCTCACCTTAGCCTGTCAAGCAACGCAGCTGTGAGGGAATACTAACTCAAGGTCACCAGATTGGTTTTGTGCCTAAGGTGGGACTAGAACTCACGGTCTCCCTGTTTCTAGCCTGGTGCCTTAACCACTACAGCAGTTCTAGTCTTGTCCAGGAACTTGTTCAGGCAGTCTCCAAGAATTGGACACAATTGAACAGATAACATCATCATCATAATGAAGATGGAGATAGAGATGAATAATGCTGTAAGTTTCTTGGAAGAACCTGAGGTAAAACTGCAGTCCCTCAACCTGTGTAATCTGCAGCATGTTAGCTCTCAAAGGATGAGTGAGGCATAGAAGAACTGTTCTCATCCAGTTTGACTTATCTCCCCCAACTTGAAAGTTTCTTTCACACTGAGGATTTTCTACCCACAGATTTCATTTGCAGACCAATGATTAGACTATATTCAGTCACCAGAAAGATACTAGTTTCTGTGTTTGTTTTGTTGTAAGAATCACGAGGGCACATGATAATACTAATTCCAATCTTTTAGGAAGGCGATGTCCAACTCCACATATAGAAAATGGCAGAATAATGTCCTCGAATGACCTCCGGTTTGGTGATCAAGTAACCTTTGCTTGTGATTATGGGTAAGTGACAGATCATTTGCTGAAGCAACTTGGCTTTGTAAAAATGTCTTTGGAGAGAACTGACAAACATGTATTGTTTCATTTAAATATTGATATTAAAAATCTGAACTGTGAACTATGTATTATAATTATTTATACTCCTTTGTTAAGATACAAATTTTCAAAAGCAACTTAAACATAAAGCAAAGTTTAACTGATCAAATTATTTAAGGGCAATATTAATATATATGAATATATTTCTTCTGTGTTCCTATCCTCAGAGGTTATTTTCATGTGTGGCTTCTTAATTCTTCATAGTGAAGCTTCATGTCTAACATTCTTGTATCTTCTTGGGAACATGGAGTGGGGAGAGAGAGAGGCGCTTATAGCAGGGGAGGGGCAGGGGCGGTATGAAGCTTTGACACTGGTCTGAGGATGAACCCTTCTGGTATGTAGGACCTATCAAGTTCTGAGGATATGCTTCTGGGGACTCTTACTGGCACTTATGGACCAGTATTATAATGACTAGGCTCCTACATTTCAGTACATCATAATACAATTCATTTGGTTTGGACCCAGCATGTTGTGGGAACCCAGCCATTTGTGGTTTATTTTAGAAATTACAACTGAGGAATCCATGGCTTAATCATAAATATTCCAAATGTATATAATTTTAATATTTCATGTACTAAAATATAAGAGTTTTTCCCCTTTAGGTTCAGAATAATAGGTGAATCCTCCCTTCAGTGTGTTTTGAAATCTGGCAGAGTTGACTGGAATAGAGAACTTCCACAATGCCAGCGTAAGATGATACTTTATTTTAAGCTTCTTACACTTCTTTCAGTCCTTTTAAGTTTAATTTCCTAACAGCAAAAGTTCAATCTGCCTAGCCTTTAGTAGAATAATTCTGTTTATCTGAAAATATGAGCAATGCCTGAATGAATCATGTCAATGGGATTTATCTACTATACTCTTTCCTTCATTGTCTGAGTGGTGTAGATATCCAACATTCCTAAACAAGATTAAAATTACAAAATAAAAATAAAAGCAGTAACATAAAGTGCAGCAACATCCAATACTCCAAAGAATGTGAATCATGTTAATCAAGCAAACACTGCACTACAAGAAACAGCAACATTGCAACATTCCAGTTCCCAAGGCCTGCCGGAATAGCCAGATATTCATGGTTGGGGCCATTGTCATCTCTGGGATGGGGGGAATGCTGTTCCACAGAAGGGTAGCAGCATTCCCCAAGAGAAGGGTTATGGAAGGAGCTCATTCCACCAGATCTCATTGGCCAGGCAGTTACAGATTGGAGGAGGCAGTCCTGAGGATATCCAGACTGTGAACTCTATAGGGTTTTAATGATGACAAACAGTGCTTTGAGTAAACCAATCCTGGTGCAGCTCTGAAAGTAGAGCTGTTATATGGGCAAAATAAGAGACACCCAGAACTACCTCAGCTGCTGCATTTTGGACTAGCTGCAGGTTCTTAGTGATCTTCAAGGATAGCCCCAAATACAGTGTGTGGCAAGAGTCAAAACTGGAGGTGACTGAAGCATGAGTGACTGTGAGAAGAGCTTCCTTTTCAGGAAAAGTTGAAACTGGCAGACACAATGAAGCTCCTGAAAGGTCTTAATAGCCCCAGCTGTCACCTGTTCCTGGGGCTGGAGTTCTGTCAAGCAAGACCCCCAGATTGAGAAGTACAGCCCTATCCTGAACCAACGATGAACCTCTCTGGAATTGGAGGGCTTCCAAACTCAAAGTCATTCCATCTTGCTTAGATTAAACTGAACTCTCTTCCTTTCCATTTGCACTCCTAATAGCCTCCAGGCACCCAAACACCCTGTTAGGATCACCTGTATAGTCTGGGTTCAAGAGGTATGTTTCCTCTCCATTCTGATGACACCTTACCCTGTGCTGAGATATGACTCCATGTATGGCTTCACGTAGTCCTTAAATGGGAGAACAACATCTGCTTAATCTCTCCCCTTTGCCACCACTAACTGGAACAGTATAAAGCAGAGGTTCCCAGACTTTCTCAGTTCACAGTGCTATTAGTGTCTCAGTAATTTTTCACAGTGCCTTGTGGTTCCCAAACTGTGTACAGCAGCACCCCAGGGCACCTCAGCCCACAGTTTGGGAGCTGCGGTGTTAACAGAAACACATTACTTGTCTGTCAATGGCTGTCAAGAGATGGGTAGCCTACACATTACTTGCAGAGGAAGAATGTACTTTTTCTAGCTTAGACTTACATGTGGAGGGATCCTAAGTGGGAAGACTGCTTTGATAATAAGAACATTATGAAGAAATCCCACCCAGGAACGGGATAGCAGATATTTCTTTGATACGAATATTGTCCCTGGCACCAGAAGAGTGACTTTGGTGTTCTGGTTGATAGTAGAAGATTTTCCAAAGATGTGCATTTACCTGATTGATTCAAGTAATTAATTCAAGCAGCTACACATCTGTACAATGAGATAATTTAAATCCAGATGCTTTGCAATTCTAGCCTAGTGTTGATTTTCTTCTCCAGGTATTCCTTGTGGTCGCCCTTCTTTAATTTCCAATGGAAAATATGATCTGAATCCTTCAGATGAATATGATGTTGGCACAGCAGTAATATATCATTGTGATGCTGATTACTCCCTTATTGGAAATTCAACTATTTCATGTACAGTTGCAGCAAATGGTGTAGATGGAATGTGGGATTCACCTCCACCTGAATGTAAAAGTAATGGAATTTCATGTTCTTTACCTTATCTTCAGTAGGTAAAATTGCTTTTTGGTTTTTTTCGATGTAGGGCTTTATAGGTGATAAGCAGAACCTTGATTTGCAACCAGAAGCCTACTGGCAGCTAGCACAACTTGCAGACCAGTGGTGTTATATGGGCATAATGAGAAATGCCAAAAACTGCCCATGTTGCTGCATTCTAGACTAGCTGCAGTGCTCTTCAAGGGCAGCCCCATGTACAGCGTATTACAATAATCCAAACAGGAGGCAACTAAGGCAGGAGTCACCATGACAAGGCCTCTCAGTCAAGGAAAAGGCACAATTGTTGCACAAGACAAACTTGTACTAAGGCCTCCCTGGCCACGGCTGCCACTTGCTGTTTCAGCAGAAGCTGAGAGTCCAGGAAGACCCCCAAATTGAACACCAACTCTGATTGGGGAAGTACACCCCTGCAGAGTTAGATGGAAAGTCTCTTGGACCATGCGCCTTAAATCCCATAGCCACTCAGTCTTGCCAGCATTGAGCCAAAGCCTGTTCTCCCCCATCCAGACCTTCACAGCCTCTAGGCACTGGGAAAGGATGTGGTGGATGGAATCACTTGGTTGGCCCAGGGTGAAGAAGTGCAACTGGGAATCATCAGCATACTGGTGATACTGCAACCTGTGCTGAAGGATGACCTTGCCCAGCAACTTCACACAGAGGTTATATTGGAGTGGGGAGAGTGGACCCTGAGGCACCCTGCAAAGCTGGGGTCTCAGGCTGGAACTCTCCCCTACTAGCAACCCTGACTAAAACCAGCCCCAGAGAAAGGTAGAGAACCACCATCAAGGGTATTTCTTCAGAGACCTTGATCTAGATCACAAGGTACTTTGAGGAGTAGGATTATCACTGTGGACTATGCTTGGAATGGAGTTGCTGCAGCCAATGAAATGGAGTCTATGGGTCAGATGCTCTCTCTCAGGCCAAGCCACCTCACAGGGTTGTTGCTGTGGGAAAAATAGGAGTAAGAATCCTGTGTGCCTCCTTGCATGATATGAAACAAAGCTAGCAAATCACTAAATAATGTAATATTATAAGAGGCAGTCCCACTTAGTAATCCATTGGATTGGGAATGTTTTTAGCTGTAGATCCTGCAGAAACTGTCTTATATATGTTAGGTGTTAGAGTAAATGATCCTGGAGGATAAGACTGGCAAGTTAAGAACAGGGCAAAAAAAGCCTTTTACAAGCTCCAACTTGCTAAGAGAGAGAGAGTGGTGGTGGGGAAACAAAACAAAAAACAAACAAACAAAACAAAACAACCCCCAGAAGCCAAAGCAGAAAGCTAAGAGGGTTCTGAGAGCCAGACAACAAATTGTCCAAGGTCAGATTTAGAAATGCTAGTGGGG